CTGTCAGGAGAAGAGTATTGAAGCAGACCACACCAAGGTCTGTGGCCTAAGGCCCCATGTAAGGCTGACCAGGCAAAGCGTTCTGTGTCATGAGCAGGTCAATTCTCCTACTTCGCTACGCGAACAGGCATTACAATGTTCGTGCTCCTCCTCCTCCTCCTGGTTGTCCTCACTCTCCTCCTCCTCCTCCTCCTCCTCCTCCTCCTCCTCCTCCTCCTCCTCCTCCTCCTCCTCCTCCTCCTCCTCCTCCTCCTCCTCCTCCTCCTCCTCCTCCTCCGCCTCCTCGTTCTCCTCGCTCTCGCGTTCCTCCTCCGCCTCCTCCGCCTCCTCCGCCTCCTCCTCCGCTTCCGAGGCCGCGCGACGGCGCGCGAGAGGCCGCCCGTCTCGCTGCCGGGAGGGCGCGCCGCCCGCTCCCAGAGTGTCCGCCTCCCGTTCCCGACCGGGCGCCCGGGGAGGGTCGGAGAGCCCGCTCGCGGGCAGGGAGAGGGCACGGGGGCGGGAGGTGCAGGGTGGGAGCAGGGAGGGGGGGGGGGGAAGATGGGAGGGAGGAGAGGAGGAGAGGAGGAGAAAGAAGAAGAGGAGGAGGAGGAGGAGGAGGAGGAGGAGGAGCTGGAGGAAGTGAGGAAACTCCTAGGAACCAGGAAGCTGGCTCGTGCGGCGGAGGCGGAAGAGGTGGAGGACGTGATGAGGAGAGGGAGGGGGAGGAGGAGAGGAGGTGGAGGAGGAGAAAGGAGGAGGAAGGTGGGGAGGTGGGGAGGAGAAGGAGGAGGGTGTGGGAAGGTGGGAGGGGCTAAGGTGGAGGAAGTGATGGGGGAGGGAGGGAGGGAGAGAGGGAGAGGACGAGGGACAATGAGCGAGGGGGGGGGGGAGAGGAGGCAAGGGGGGAAGGGGAAAGAAAGGAGCAGGAAGGATCGAAGGCCGAGGATCGAGGTTGGATCGAGTGTCGAGTAGCAGATATCGAGGAGCAAGGATGGATCCAGTGCCGGAAATCGAGGGTCGAGGCAGAGTGGAGAAAGGGCCTGTCTTGTCGGAGCAAATGACGGTCGTGCAGCCCAGCGTCTCCACCGAGGGCAGTCTGCGCACGATCGCGTTGCGCTTCGCCATTTTCCTCAGGGCGCGCGACGGCGACGGCGAAGGCGGCGGCGGCGGCGACAGCGACGGCGACGGCGACGGCGACGACGACGACGACGACGATGATGTTGACAATGTTGACGACGACGACGACGACGACGACGACGACGACGACGACGACGAGTTGCTCTCTCCCTCTATCCCTCCTCCAACCATCTATGGGAACACTCCTTCCCTCCATCGTCCCTACATCCCTCCTGCTTCTCTGCCTCCTCCCCTCCTCCATTCTCAAATCCCCGCCACCATCCTTCCCTCCTGCCCTCCCATTACCCTCCTTTCGGTATCGAAGGCGGCCGCGGCTGTCTCCAGACATTGGAAGGATAGGGCGCCGAAAGACACCGCACAAGTTCAGGATCATGCTGCAAAAGGATCCACTGTGCGAAGCCCCTTAGGCATGAAGAGAAAGGACGAGGGAACAAGCAGGAGAAGGAAGAGGCGAATCGTGCAATAGTTGACATGCAACTGAGCTGCAGAAGCAGGGAAAAGGAGAACAGGAGCAAGGCGAACAGTGACAGACGAGGCGAAGAGGAGAAGAAGAATAAGAAGCCGCACCACAGCAGACTACTGAAGGAGCTGAAGGGGTGCGATAGCAGGAACGGCGATAAGAACGAACGAACGCAACACCGCTGCGGAAAATCGTCCAAGCCTGTCTGAGACCATGTGGGGAAGCCGTGGTCTCGTGGATTGGAAAATCAGCACATGCATCGTGACTAGTAGGCCAATTAGAAGTTAATACAAGAGGGGGAGGAAATCCTGGTTGTGGATTCCAGCGCGAAGTGCATCGCGGCGAGAAAGCACCGGTGGGAGAGTGGACTACCAGCCCAGATGCCGGGACCAACACCAGGAAGCACACATGCGCCAACCAATCTGCCCCCGTAGAGAAAGAAAAACGGAATCAACAATTGTTCAAGGTCCGCACGAATTTCCAGGATCGGCGCCAGGGACCCCCCCCTGGCGGCGCCTCCGGCGCCGCCCCTGGCACGCTCCGCTCGCCAGGGAGAGAGGGGGTCCAGCGACAAATCAAGAAATCCGCGCGGAGCTCCCAAAATTTATGTTTATGACGTTCTTTCGCCGGCGCGCCCTGGGCCAGACCTGACCCCAGACACGCCCGCGTCGGGAAAAAACACGACCTCTGCTGGCCCTCGGCGGGCCTCGGGACCATCACAAGACGACTCGGGATGAAAAACTGGCCCTGGGGAAGGGTCGGGGCTTCTGGGGACCGCGCACTGAAAAAACCAAGACACCGCATGTCTGGGACCGTTGGCTCTTCGGACCCTCTCGGGGGCCTCTGAGGTGAGACCAGCGGGTCATCCTGGAGAGCCCTGGCTTCCCAATTGGTGGGAAGGGGACTCCACGATGCAACAGCTGACCAAGGAGGAGGAGGAGGAGGAGGAGGAGGAAGAGGAGGAGGAGGGAGGGTCGTCAAAGCCAGAGAAGAGAGCTGAGCTTAAAGGCTCGGGGACGGCGATGGATCGGACGGTGCCTGGCCCCTCCCTGGACTGACTTCTTGCGGCAGTGCGCCAATGAATGGTGTGGCAGCGGTCCCTCTGCGGACCTCCACCCTCGAGCGCAACCCCACTGTCGCTCTCCTCCTTTTCGGTTTCCGTCTATTCCTTTTCCTCTTGAACAGTCCCTCCAGCCCTCCTCCACCTCCTCATCCCCCTCGTCGCATCACTGGACGAGCCGGCGCGGCGGGCTGAACCTTTCGCCTGAGACTTCCTGACAGACGATGACCATGCAGCTTACAATATGGCTATTACCCTGGTGCCTCGCAAACCCTTCTTGAAAGCTTCCAGCGATCACATGGATGGATCACAGGTGGCTTCCAAACTGCTGCTCTCGCCTTATCGCCGCGAAAATCAATCTTGAAAGCTTGCAGCAGTTCCACCGATGGAAAGCATATCCGCCACCGCGCTTGCAGCGGTAGGTATGTGTCGGACCCTCTCGCTCCTTGCGAAGCAATAATTAAGGCCCCCCCGACGTAGCGAGCCCAAGATGGGTTCATTTGTATGACCAAGCCCCTACGTTTTTGGCCTTCCAGGCAGAAAACGTGTCCAAATACGAGGTTGGGGAAGGGACGATCAATGGATTACCCCCCCTCTCCCCGGCGCCCGCCCCACCTCCCCCTAGCGTCCTCGCGAGCGCGATGGCGGAATCGCGCGGCAGCGCCACTGGATAACTTTTAAATCGGGCTCGAGCATGAGGCTTATTCTGACCTACTGGTCCAAAACTGTGCCGCTTGTAAGAACTACATGGATGGCGGGCGGCTGCGTTTCAAAATGGGGCTCTCGCTTGAGGCACTCTCAGACTGTATGTCCCACAGTGACAAATATGCAACAGAAGGGAGACTTCCTCTAAGAATTGTTGTATTGCTTTGACATGCTCTTCAGCTTAAGGGTAGCATGGAGTGCAACCCCGTGCTTAGCAAATGCCCTCGCCAAAATGACAGCCCCATGGGCCACCTGTCTTTCGAGAGAAAATGACACATGCATGGATTTGAAAGGTGGGGGTTCCACACGGGAACATGTATTGAAGAAGCGTTTGTGTGTCTTGAGAGTCGCGTGCCTCCTCTGACTCCTCCTATATCTGCATATGGTGTGGAAACGGAAACCTGTTTAGGCAAACTGGGCAGTGAGTCCGCCAGCAGGTGAATAGTGAATGTGGGTGCGCACAACACTACTGAGCATCCTCTCTTTCTTGTGGGATGGGACCTGGTGCATTTCAGGCAAGGTAGGTAGCTAGCGAGTGAATGCGCGGGTGCGTGCGATTGTGAGTGCAAGCGTGCTAACATGGCAGTGCGAGCGTGAGCGTGAGCATGCGAGTGAGAACGAGCACGAGTGCGAGCGCAGAAGTGCGCATGCGATTGCGTGTGTGAGGCCGCGGACAGGAGCGTAAGGGCGGGTGTCGAGTCAGCCAGACCGAACGGTCACTGGGACACGCCCATTCCCACCCTCTCCCTCATAACGTGAGAAGCTGTGGTGACACGATGTGGCTTGGGCGTCGGAACACGTTCCCGCCCACCGAACGGAAGACGCCCGCGGCCGCAGCCCCACTTCCGACGCCTTGGCGAGAAGAAAATCGCGGGCAGCGCACGGGCGCAGCGGACCTTCAGAAAAGCCTCGCTCGGCGCTGCTGCGAGAGCGCTATTTAGCCCCGTGTCGGGTGTGCAATGAGCGCAGCAGAACCGATGCATGTGCCACGCCGAAACCGCACTGCCACTTTCACGTACAAACTGCACGGGGCGTGCCTGCTCTCATGCGGCCCCACTGCCGCGGCAGTTTTCATGCAATTCGGTGGGCGAACCATGCGCCGCACCCAAGCGGGAACGCCACTCCCAAGCGAAAGCTGCACGGAGCTAGGCGAGGGCGAGAAGTCGCCCGCTCGCGCGTTGCCCCGCCCATTACCCCTTGGCGAGAGGAAAAGATGCGCCGCACCCAAGCGAGAGCGCCACTGTCAGGAGAATTCTCCGCGGCGCCGAAGGGAGAGCAAAAGTTTCGTCCGTTCGCGCGCGAGTCCGCTGCCGACGAGGCGGCGACGAGCTCAGTTTGCGTCGCGCCAGAGCTCTCAACTTTTGGAAACAGGAGCGCGGCGCCGAGGCGAGGACGACGTGTCGCCCATTCGCGCGAGACGTGCGCTCCGTGCCATCCATTTTGCCACGTCGACGCCCACGCGTCCATGTTGAACAAAGACATGGTGTTGCTTTGGAGCGTCCCAGGCCCAGCACAGATCGGCCACGAAGAGAGCAGAGTGGGAGCATATACGAATGAGACATTCGCCACCGCACTTGCAGCGATTGGTTTGCGTCGGGCCCTGTCGCCTTACGCGTCAAGCCCAAGGTGCGTTCATTTGTGTGGCGAGTCCCTGCATGTTTGACCTTCCAGGCAGGTAAAAGGTGAGTAGGGCCGAGGGTCAGAGAACGCCTTCCTCTGCAGGACCACCAAAAGAGGGACGTCAAGGTGGTCAAACGCCTCGCCGGTTAAGCCGACGAAGATGTGCGAAGTCCAAGATATCAACGTGATGGTAATCCGAAAAGGCCCCAAATACGAAGCCTGGGGCAGGGTGGTCCATGGACCCTCTCCCCTCTCCGCCCCCACGAGGAGCCCCCACCTCCCCGCTCGCCCAAGCGCGGTAGCACAATCGTGCGGCGGCACAACTTGAGCGTCGCTGTTCCTCGCCTTGCTTCTGCGCTCTTGCGATGGCAATGTGATGCTCGGCCTCATGTGTTGGACTTGCGTCAGCCGGGGTCGTGCACAAGGGAATGTCACGCTCAACTGTGTGCACGACGGTGGCTCGGACTTGTTAGCACGAGTGGTCTCAGTGATAGAAACGCAGGTCCTGGCTTTCGTTTCAGTGTCGGTACGTAAGGAGAGCATGTGCGTGAAAGCGGGTGTGGGAGTGGGCGCGGTCGTTGGTATGAGCATGAGTGCTGGTGAGGGAGATCGAATGGGCGCCTGGGAAAAGAAAGAGTGGCGACGACGAGGACGAGGAAGATGGGGGAGAGAGGAGTGAGGAGAGTGAGGGGACGACGAGAACGCGGGGGCGATGTCGAGGAAAATGGGCTTAGGCCGGGGGGAGTAGGGATTTATCTAATTACATCCACCGCCTGGATCACCGTACGTCCTGGCAGGGGGCAGTGAATATATATATATATATATATATGTGGGCCCCCCCCAGGGCCCGAATCGGAGGTTGGGGGGTGAGATCGCAATGGAAACGAGAGCCCCACACCAGGAAATCGGTTTCGGTTTCGTGTTCGTGTCGTGCGTGCGGGCGAGGCGAAGCTGCGTGGGCGCGCGAGAGGAATGATGCCGCCGTGGCTAGGGGCTGTGGAGCTGGTTGTCCGCCCCCCCCCCTCGGCGCGCGGTGGCAAGGGGTGTCCCGAAGGTGGCGCGTCCGTGTTCCGTCGGTGGCGCGGGGTGTCCCGACGGTGGCGCGGGGTGCCCCGTCGGTGGCGCGGGGGTGCTCCGTCGGTC